CATGCATGGAAATTGCTTAGTTGATGGTTTGAGGGGCCAAGAGTTACACTCTTTTGAGCTTGTGTGATGATAAGGAGGGTAACAGTACAAACAACCCTTGAGAATATACCGTTTTACTCTGTCTGCTCTCTGTTGCAACAAAAAGAAGGGTTCTTGTCATCAGTGGCCAACTGGCCACCACAAGTAGTCGACCGACCACCATTGGTAGCCGACAGGCCCTCTGTCGGCCACCAATAAAAATTGCACAGAGTGTTCCTAAGGTGGAGCAGAGGCATTCTGGGAGTTAGCAGCACTGTTGGTATTCAAATGTGCAAACAGAGGCGTTCAGTGGCAAGGCGGTGGCTTTTTCGGGTGGAGAAACTGAGCATGCATGCATCCCTCGCTTCCCGAGGCCATTTAATTGCTTTGATTGGTTAATTAGTGATAGCTAATTAATTAGTTTAATTGCTTTATATCTAATTAGCTCAGTATTTAGCTAATTAATTTGATTTGTAATATTTAATTAGCATAGAATAAGTTAGTTAATTCATTTCAATTGTGTTGTAATAATTAGCTTAGCATAGCTAGTTAGCTTATTTATTCAAACCTTCCTTCACGAGGGCACAATGTTATAATAAGTGTGCGTGCATGTGTGTATGTCTTCCAACCCTACGTTTTTCTCCCTTTTATTTAATCGCTTTTGATGGTTAGATTAGAGACATGTCTCAATTAGCATACCTTATGCTTGCATGCTTGCATCTATTCATTTGTCTTGCATCCACCGAGGCTCGGCGCATCATTCAAACTGCATTGCAATTTCAATACTTTTTTGAATACGTGTTTCAAAGCATGCCATCAAAGTGTTGCAAATACCATGATTAAGTAGCCGAGCCTATTTAGTTACATTATTGCATGTGTTGCATTAGTCATTTAACATAGTTAGGAATCATGCATTTTTCTAACTTTGTTTTCTTTCTTGGCTCGGAGTACTCGATGAGTCTTTATGCTTTAGCATACTTGCATGAGTGTGATTGCCATGTTTCCATGTTTCACATGCTTGTCATGAGGCTATATGCTTACTTGCTAAACTACATGAATGCTTGTGGATGATGGCTTCATTGTTTGAATTGGAACAATTCAACGAATGCAAGTTTTAAGCCCACTTTGTTGTGGCAAAATCATGTTTTAAGCCCACTATGTTTGGTGGCAAATCCACATTTTAAAGCCCACTTGAGGTGACAAATTCAAACCATTTTCGAAAATAAACATGAGTTGAATTGTTCCAAGTCTTGCGACTAGTCTATGCTTGCTTGTGTGCGTTGCATAGTAAAACTAGTTTAATAAATGGAATAAGAACACATAATGTTTCCAAAAAGTATATCATCATTAGTAGAGGCCGATCTTTGATCAGGCGAGCAGGGGGTGCTCATTTCAGGACCTTTCCCTCTCGTACCTAAGTTCCCGAGCCGAGGCAACTTTGGTGATAATGGACACATTGCCTTTGGCACGAGTCTGGGTTTCATAAATTTTTCCAAAATAAAATATTTAGGTGGCGGCTCTATATCTGGCAAAGCAATCCAATTTTGGCATTATGTGATTTAAAATCAATTTTTCAAAAAGATTTGCTGGATTAGACTTTTTGGTGTTTATTAGTTTCACATTACACTTGTGAGACTAGATTCAGAACCACAAGTAAAGTCCAAACTGTGAAGCATTCTTTTCAAACCCTTTCTGAAAGGCAGGGATGTAGAAAAAGGCGAGTCCACATAGAGTATAATTGGGTGAGGGAATTATTGATGTGGTGATATTAGACCGAAGTTTTAAGATAAATTGTGTTTATTTATACATTATGTATATGATAGTAGTCGGTTGACATTAAATTTTGTAATTAATTTATGCATATGTAGATGAATTCTATTTGAGAATTTGCGTTTTACTTGAAATATTTTAAAATAAAAACTTTATTAACGTGTTTCCAAATACATATTATTATGCTTAAATCTTAAAATAATTATTCATTTTACTTGAAAGTAAGGTAATAAAAATATATAATTTTTTAAAGTTTGTTTAACATGCATGTTAAAATCATACTGTTAAATTAATTATAATTTTTATAAATAATGTTATAACAATAATGCTATGTTTATTATCATTTTATTTAGTATTTACTGTATTATTTCATGTGTCACTCAATACAACATTGACATAATAGATTATCGAATGGTCATCTTTAGTATGTACTGTATTATTATCATCTTTCTTTTGGGTTAAATAAGTATTTAATCCAATGGTCATCCGTAGTCGTTTAGGACTCTAGAAGAATTCGAAAGGTGTAGAATATTTTTAAAAAAATATATAAAAAAAATTCACTAGTAGTAGAATAGTTTAGAAAATTCTAAAATATAATGGAATGACAAAATGATTCTAAAATATTTTAGAGTAATAATGATGATCATTGAATCAAATTGATCCTAGCCATCCATTAAGGAGATGGAAAACTATATCAAGGGAAGACCCCTCATTTATGAGGCATTTTTTTATAGTGAAGTTGTTTTAGTCTTCTCTTAAAGGACTCTGTTGTTTTGATCTTCCTCTAAAGGCTCTATATCACAAAAGACATTTCATTTTAGTTCTCTACAAATAATTAACATTCATTGCTAGGCAAATGGTATTCCCACCATTGTGCTTATATCTGCTTGTTGCATCTCTGCTTGCTTGCTTCATATTTAGGTCAAGTTTGGCATGATTGAAAAAAGACAAAAAGTCAAAAAGTCACTATCTTATTTAAATCACATCATCTTATTTAAGTCACATCACCTCTCTAACACATCACTTCAAACCCAACCCAAACCCAACCCATATTTCATAAAAAGTCAAAAAGTGCACTTATTTAGTCTTCCCAAACTAGGCCTTACTATTTCTTATTCAATCTAGCCCATTTGATCGTTTGAACTATTACCGTTGAAATAATATTATCATTTAAAAATATAATCATGTAAAAATATTATTTCAAAAATAATTCAATAATATATTTTAAAAAATAATCTTTTGTAAATATTGTTGGAAATGGTTTGGAAAAATCTGGGTTTATAATAGATTTTTTTTTTTGGTCTATTATTTAGGTGGGACCCGAGCGTCGATTTTCACAGGTCAAAGTGATAACGCGTTCTATAACGCATTGTGATTCACATGGTATATTTGATTGCTCAAAACCATTACCAAGTGAATGGGAAATTGAAGCCAAAGTATGTTCCATGGAAATAGAGTTTTAGTGGAAAATCCTTAAAAGTTTGAATAAAGTTTATCCCACATTGATTTGGTGGGAAGTTTTGAATGGATTTATAAGGCATGTGTTTGGTACTTGGGGTGTGCCCCAAGGGGTACCCAAGTGTTTTAGAGAGGGAGGTTATGGGCAAAATGGGCTAGACCCATTGGACCCAAAAATCACCACGCGCGCGCCGCCGCCGTCCCTCCGGTCAGGTTGGCTGGGCGCGGGTGCATGGTGTGAAGTTGGGTTAGGCTTGTCTGGCCAAAAACATTTGAATTTAATTTTATTTTTGGTAAAATAAAATCCAGAATTCAAATTAAACCGGAAATAATCTGGTCCGATTTTTCTGTACACCCAAACAAGGCCCTTTCCGTTTTTATCTGTTTGAATTTTGAACCAACAGATTTAAATCTATTTAAATTCAAAACCGGACAGTTTTCAACCTGTTCAAACAGTGCCTATCTGTTTAAATTGAACAGGCTTGCACCTGTTTAATTCAAAACTTACAGCCACCAATCCATCTATAAATAGGGCAACCCTCATTTGATGTTTCATTCAAAAATTTCGTACTTCACCTCTGCAAATTAATTCTTCATTTTTCTTCATTTTATTTTTTGTGAGAAAGAATATAAACACTTAGTGTGTTCGTTAGGCAAACAATTTGTAGTGCTGCTATTGTTTGTAGTTAATCATTTCATCCTGGGAGATAAATGTCTGTATTCTGAAAGCATCGTGGAGAGGACGAATCTGTCTTAACGACACAGTGTCAAACACTAGACTGGATCAGATAATTATTTAAAGAAATTAATCAAGTAAGTTGTTTAATTTATTATTCTGTTTTATTTGTTTATTTATTCAGATTTTAATTTTGTTTTTGTAACAAAATAAAATCTGTTTTTATTTATTATTATTTTTTATTTCGAGTTTGATTTTTGTAATCAAACAAATTCTCTCATTTCCTTTATTTCTTTATATTCTAGTTGTTGTTTAGTACACAACTGAATTTAATCTATTTAAATACAGTGAAGATTGGCCAACAAATATCACGTTAGTAACCACGTTAACATTAAATACATATACAATATGTCACAAAAAAATTTATATTTTTTATTTATATTTATAGTATTTTTCATTTTAAAAATTAAACCCTGGCCATCCTGTTACTGGAGTAGGTCAACCCCTCTAATTCTCAGCGCAGCAGGTATATAATAAGTATGAAGATGTATCTAAGGCATATAATAAGTATAAAAATGTATCGAATTTATATACATTTCTTAAATATTAAGATGTGGATCAATATAATTTATAATTATCAAAATCTCAATGTTAGTCACATCATTATTGTTTCAAATTACATCATATCGTATATAATAGAGATGTAAATATATGAATGTGAAAAAATTATCACATAGATTTGTTCCATATCCTACGTGGTATGCTCTTACAATTCTATTAGTTACATAATTGCTAAAATATTTTGACGTCTAACTATTCAACTATTAAAACATTTCCTATCTTAAAATAAAAAAAATAAAAACTATTAAAACATTAAAGATGCTCTAAGAAATATGTTATTTGGCTAGATTTTGCAAAATTTTTTGAAATTAATATTCTGATAATAAATTATTTTTATTTAAGTAATTTTTATTAACTTATAAATAAGAAGCAAGCATAATTGCATTAGTAAACTATACCAAACATGGAATTATGGAGGGAGCAGAAACATCAGAACGACGTCGTATGAGATGTTATCTAGAAGGAAGTATCACACACAATTACACGATGAGGTGACACTTCTTGCCCCGCTTTCTCTCCTCTATCCTAGTTCCGTTGGAAAGTTTTTGAATTGTTATGAGGAGAGGAGGTAGGGATCTCCACCAATCAAATCTATGGACAATTCTAAGGTTCAAGAGGTAAAAAGCTCATATCTCCCTCTCTCTATATATGTCCATAACTATCTATATGTTTGCTTGGTACATTTGTATTTTCAATTATTGAGTCTTCAATTTGCAGATCATAGAGAAGCAAGTATTGACGGTGGCCAAAGCAGTCGAAGAAAAGATCGATGATGAGATCCACACCCTAGATCGCCTCGATCTCGACGATATCAATGTCCTCAGAGAGTGCTGCCATCAACAGATAAAGAAAATGAAGGAGAAGCAGAGCCGTTGGATCGCCCTCAGCCATGGCGAGAACTCCGAGATCCCCGCCGAAAAGGACATTTTCTCCGTGGTAAAAGCCAGCAACCACGTCGTCTGCGATTTCTATCGTTAGAATTGGTTGTCTTTTCTTTTTTCAATTATGGTTTATAGGTTGATTTGATTTTAACATAAAATTACATTGTTTGGTTACTGAGAAATTCTCTCCCAAAATGATTTTCTGTGAGAAAAAGTATTCAAATGTTAACTAGGCCATCTCAAAATTGTCCTCAAATTTGAGTAAAAGGTTGAATAATGGCAGATTGGTAAATTTTGAGTAAACTCAATTTGGTATAAGTTTGGGTCAAGGAGTGGAGTGTGTTTTTGAGTGATTTTTACCCAAATATAAATTTGATATAGGTTTGAGTCAAAGGATTGGAGATGCCTTTGCATATGCAAAGTGTGTAGGGCTATAAAACGAATCAAGTTACTTGCGTTCGGCTCCTCTTTGGCTCTTCAAAATTAACTTTCTATGTTAACAATCCAAACTTCAATACACTTTAAAACTCATCAAGTTATCGAGACAATGACTCGATAAGCTTATATGCAATGTAAAAACCCAAACTAGTTAAAGCTTGGTTCATTATCGATTTTATTGAAGCTTGTTTGAGATTTACTGATCAACAAATCAAACTTGAACACATTTTAAAATTTGTAAAGATTTCAAACTAAACATCAACAATCTAAATGTATGATTCCTTTTCAGGACCAATAAAAAAAGGTATGATTCTTTCTTTTTTAAATATAGTTAACTAGGGTTTAAGGTGTCAACAATAACATAATCTTGTTTTTTTAGCCAGTGCATAATTATGATGAGCTAATAACTAAAAGATGAATTACACATCATGAGCCAATAGTTTAGAAGATTTATTTGTTTCATGAGCCAATGCATAATCTATCTTTATTCCCTAGGGCCAAGTAAAGATTATAATCCTAATTTGTCCCAAAATGAACAACTATGCTGAAGAACCCAATCCTTTTTGACAAGCACAAACTTTTTTGTCCCAATATCCCCCTTGGATTAACATAAAAATCACAATTATACTTCCAGTAACTATTCTTCTGTGCAAGTCCTGCACTTGAAACTTTAGAATGAACTATATTGGCCTTTGAATACAGTTTCCCCCATTCTCTTTCATTATTTGCCGAAAATCTGATGGGTTGCATATGGTTAGAAGGACCCACCTATATAAGTATCTATGAAATGAAGGAATGGGACCTAGAGAGATAAGTTTTCCACCACCTATTTGTTACATCTGTTATCATGGACTGCCTTTGTATATGCCAAGATAAGGAGTATACACCTTGTAGTTGAACTAGTTTCAAATACATGCACTTGCTCCTGACAAAGAGGCAAATTCGGCATTTGCATGAGATGCATTATACTATTATAAATATATTGCATATACACAATACATATATATATATATATATTCAAAATGATGTACTGTTTTTATTTTTTTATCCACCATTACAAATTACAATATATTTTCATTGTTCTCATTCACTGTGGATGGTTTTTTTGTACTGTTCTAATTTCATTGAAGTGATTGTTTTGGTGAAATTATTTGTGGCTCATTTCTGGGAATAAACAAAATTGAGCTAGATATGTGGTCATCACAGAGGGAAGGCCATGCATCATGGGTTTCAAACTACAACCTTACAATGTTGGGAGTCTTGTGCGTTAAGACTGCCCTTTTTATATACGGTGATCATAACAAAAACTACAAACTCCATACTAGTTTTAAAATTATTAATTATGGGGGTAGCTGATCATTGCATGTCATTTAAGTTTGCTGATGTGTGCTTATGTGTTGCTTGTCTGTTGAAGTGTTAGGTATTTAACTGTAATGCATTTTATAGAGTTCTTGGCAGAGGAAAGAATGTTGTCTAAATCAGATTTTGATGTGTTGGATAAACAGTCTTTGTTAAACAATTCTTCACAGCTGAATGCACAACTATTTGAGTATTTGACCACACTTCATTATAAGATTGTGCACCATCTTAATGTTTCCCCTCCTCCCCCCCAATCTCTTAAAAATTGTGGGTATGGTTGACTGATTTATGTTCTTGGCAGAGGAAAGAATGTTGTCTAAATCAAATTTTGATGTGTTGGATAAACAGTCTTTGTTAAACAATTCTTCACAATTGAATGCACAACTATTTGAGTATTTGACCACACTTCATTATAAGATTGTGCACCATCTTAATGTTTCCCCTCCTCCCCCCCAATCTCTTAAAAATTGTGGGTATGGTTGACTGATTTATGGGTTATTTGAAAGTAGTGTGTAGATTTCCAACTTGTAAAGAAAACACTAATGCTTCTGGTTTAATTGCAGGTGATGGACAAGCACTTGAGTATATTGTCAAAGCAGCACATAGAGACACGTTTCGTGAAAATACATGCTGAGAAAAGTCCATTCTTGGCTGAGAAGCTCAAGATTGTTGTCCCTCCAACCCTTGCCCTTATAAAGAGTGCCAAAGTGGACGATTACGTGGTATGTCCAAAGGAAGGTTACACAAATCATTAATAAAATCAATTCAGAAAATAAAATTGATGTTTTGTTTAAGGTACAATCCTCTACTGAATCCTGGAATAGGGGTTGGCTAAAGCTCAAGTTATCTTTTATGAGGGCGAATCATCTCTAAATCCATCAAAGTCCAGTGCAAAATCCAGGAGCGTTAGACAAAGCTCAAATTCGCACTCTTTAAATTCAGATTCTTAGTAATATTACATGGATTGCCTCTTGTTGTAATTCCCTTTGCTTTTTGGTGCGAAGAGTCGCTATGAGGCTTGACGTCATCATCCTATCTTACATTTAGAGAACTTGACTCCAAGGGCTTTTTCAGGGGCCATTGGAAGTTGGTATTATTTTCAGCTTATTTTGGTTCGAAATTCAGTTGGTTATGTAAGATCCATTTTATCACCTCAAAACCATCTCTTGGATGGTTATCGTGTGTGATTGTTCCTTTCTATCAATTTGATTTTGCTTCGCATCTGGGTTACAAATTTTTGCTTTAAAGGACCTTATGCTAATTTGTCATTTCTCTCCTTTCTATGATTGCTATATTTTTTAACGCTTAAAGAATGCTAATCTCTTCCCTTTTTCTTTGAATGAGATTGAAATTTTAGTTTATTGGTGTCCAGAAATTATGGTGATTACGGAAAACTTGGTATAAAGCCATAAATTTTTGGTTCAATGGTGATGAGCCACTGTGCGATGGTTATAGTAGGCCTCGTTTTGCTCGACTTGAGTAGGCTTAGCCAGAGTCCAGCTTGGTCAGATTGGTCAATTCCCTCTACATTTTGGGTTGAGTTTGGACCCCCAGTGCCAAGAAGGAAAAACATGTTCAATTAGAGGACCATCAAAATCACCCATTTGTGGTGGATTGGTTCAGACCTTTCAGTTTTGGCTGGCCCAACTGAAAGAACACTATGTTGTATTCTCACTTTGTCAAATTTTGGTTCTTTAAGAAATTCAAATATTTTCAAAAAGGGTTGGGCTTCTTTCAATTGAGAGAGATTAGGATTGTGTAAAATTTAGCAAATCAAATGAAGAGAGAGATTAGGGTTATGTAAAAATTAACAAATTAAATGACAAGCGCTATCTTGATTTTTTAATAAATCTTAACTGATTTTGTTATTATTTAATATCTAAATAAACTTTTGATCTCCCATGCATAGCATTAGTTTTATATGCTAGTATTCCATATAAAATAAATAAATTGAGAAAATTAGATAGACCTCACAAAAGAGGGCAGTGCAGTGCTTTTGGCATTGATTCAATTTGAAGCAGTAGCTTTGGATAACAAAGATTAGTTCCTATTATCGTAGGCCGAATTTCATTCTTGTCCCTTATTCCAAGGTTTTAGACAAGATATAAGAGAGGACTCGGATATAAAATAGGATCCCAAGATCCATCACGTGTTGTTAAAAGACTGGTTTTGGGCAAGGAATAAAAGAAAATGATCTCAAGATCATCATGTGGAGAAATTTTTGGTTCAATGGTGATGAGTCACTGTGGATGGTTATAGTAGGCCTCATTTTACTCGACTTGAGCAGGCTTAGCCAGAGTCCAGCTTGGTCAGATTGGTCAATTCCCTCTACATTTTGGGTTGAGTTTGGACCCTCACTGCCAAGAAGGAAAAACATGTTCAATTAGAGGACCATCAAAATCGCCCATTTGTGGTGGATTGGTTCAGACCTTTCAGTTTTGGCTAGCCCAACTGAAAGAACACTATGTTGTATTCTCACTTTGTCAAATTTTGGTTCTTTAAGAAATTCAAATATTTTCAAAAAGGGTTGGGCTTCTTTCAATTGAGAGAGATTAGGATTGTGTAAAATTTAGCAAATCAAATGAAGAGAGAGATTAGGGTTATGTAAAAATTAACAAATTAAATGACAAGCGCTATCTTGATTTTTTAATAAATCTTAACTGATTTTGTTATTATTTTATATCTAAATAAACCTTTGATCTCCCATGCATAGCATTAGTTTTATATGCTAGTATTCCATATAAACTAAATAAATTGAGAAAATTAGATAGACCTCACAAAAGAGGGCAGTGCAGTGCTTTTGGCATTGATTCAATTTGAAGCAGTAGCTTTGGATAACAAAGATTAGTTCCTATTATCGGAGGCCGAATTTCATTCTTGTCCCTTATTCGAAGGTTTTAGACAAGTTATAAGAGAGGACTCGGATATAAAATAGGATCCCAAGATCCATCACGTGTTGTTAAAAGACTGGTTTTGGGCAAGGAATAAAAGAAAAGGATCTCAAGATCATCATGTGGTGATGAGAGACATTGTCACCCAATGGATCCCCAAGTCTAGTCTTATTCCTTGTTTAGAACCATGGTACAAGATACAAAGAAGGATCTAGATAAGAGGATCCCCTTGCCTACAATTGTTCTCTTCAGTGTGTCTCTTCCTTGTCAAGAGGCCATAACTAACACAATCAAAATGCAGCAGAGAGACTAAACCATGAAAAAAACACACACAAAAGTATGATATTATAAAAATTCAAAACACTAGAGCTTTAATAATAATAATGTATAGCAAGCACCAGAGGGAAGGAAAAACCATGTAGGGATAATACAATCCAAACAAACAAACACCTTCCTCCCTTATTTCTTACAATCTACTCCACAACAAAAGCCTAAATTAGAGCAGATCATAATATATACTAATACTAATTTTCACGACTCTTATTTTCTCCTTAATCTAAACTACAAACAATCAAATTAAACTACCATTGAAAAAACATCTAGCAACAACATAACTATATAAAATTCCTAGCCAAAAAGGGAAGTGTAGATAGAGCATATATATGCAAATCCACACTATGTTGTGTCTCCCTTTTAGATGGAAAGACATGTTGCTGCTTGGTGCCTCGAGTCATTGTCAACACCCTCTTGCCGTAGGGGTGGCTGTGTAAGAAAGGGTAATGCTTCTGAATCAAGCTAAGGATTGTTTGGCGAACACATCCCTATCTTTTCCAAGGCAAGAGCAAGAAGTGAAAACAATTTATCAAATCAAAACATTATAGAAAAAAAAAAAGAAAAAAAGAAAAGAAAGAAAGGATCAAACTCAATCCAATTTTGGATAAAAAAAAGTTCCCCGAGTACATAGTGTTAGCTTCACAAATGAAGAAGAAGAGGAAGAAGAATGAACCGAGAGAGAAAAAGAAAAGCATCTGCTGTAATATTATTTCAATGATAATAGGGTTACAACTAAAGCATACGTATTTAAGCTAATAAGCATAAACATAAGTTAAAGTACTAAACTACCCTTAGATAACAATTACACTTAACACTCCCCCTCAATGTGGTACAAATATATCTCTCATGCTTAACTTCCAACAAATAGGATAGAAACCTTATAGCTAAGACCCTTAGTAAATATGACAGCCAATTGATCTTCCGACTTCATATAAGGCATACATATCAAACCCTTAGTTAGTTTCTCCTTAATAAAATGTCTGTCGATTTCAATGCGCTTAGTCCTATCATGTTGAACAAGATTGTGAGCAATACTGATAGCAGCTTTGTTGTCACAATACAACGTCACAGGTCCATCACAAATGATTCCTATATCACCCAGCAAGGATTGGAGCCATATAAGTTCACATGTACCATGTGCCATAGCTCTATATTCTACTTCTGCACTAGACCTGGACACCACTGCTTGCTTCTTACTACGCCAGGTAACCAAATTTCCCCCACAAAAGCGCAGTTACCAGAAATAGATTGTCGGTCATCTATAGAACCAGCCCAATCTGCATCCGTGAAGACCTCTAACCTCAAGTGGCAATGATTTGAGAACAGAATTGTCACGACCCAAACCCGCCCCTATGGGTTTAGCACCGTAACCGACTAGTAATCCATGATTACTGAAAGCCTGTTTAACAGTAGAACAGTAAAACAGAGTACAGGGGCTGGCGGAAGCCAAAACAGTAAATAAACAATGTCCAATGAGCTGTGACAGTCTGTATGCAAAAAGACTTTTCATACATATATACAATCAGTGCAAAAGAGTATGTACAACATTTACAATCGATCAGGACAAGGACTTAATCCCTATTAAAACAGTACAATAACAGTCTATATAGTCTATACAAAAATAGAACAGAAAAGGGAAAAACTAAAACACCCCATAGCCTTAGCTTGAAACAGGCTCGGAACCTCGCAGTGAGGCACATAGGTTGGCTTGACAAAACTGGAGTTTACCCCGACACTTCTAGCAACGGTCCGGTGCCTGAACACCTACATATATATATGAACAGTGAGCTAAAGCTTAGTGAATAACATAATGCGTAAAGTGGTTAAGAATGAATGTCCTTTCAGTATTGAAAACAGTCAATTGATTCAGTATATCAGTCATTCAGTTATAACAGTCATATGTGGTACATCCATTAGCAGAACAGTACAGTAAACAACAGGTCTTGAAAGACCGAGCAGTCAATGATGGCCATCATAACAGTAAACAGAAGTTCCAAGATAGGAACTAATAGAGATCTCTGTAACAATAGCAGTAATAGTAACAGTAGTTGCTATGGATGCCACAATACAGTTCAGAATAGAGGACATACATTCATTCAGTTAACAGTATCAATTCAGAAACAGTACAGTTAAACCATTCAGAAGATATTCATATTTGAACATATCTTTACACAGTTGTTACTTACAGAGTTCTGAGCTACAGTTAAGCTAGAGCGCGTCCTCAGATGCCAACCCTACACAATTTACAGGATGAACACACACTAAGTTTACATTCGAGAATCAAAGACTTAGTCCCTACTCAGACTCGGTGTGGTTCTACATCAGTATCCTCATTAAGATGCCTTAAACTAGGCCTAAGAATGCCTAGGATGGAATGAGGATGCAAAGATGCACTTTAAAACATTTTTCAGAATTTTCAGAAAACAGGGGTCCCGCTCGAGCATAGGTTACTCCGCTCGAGCAGACATGCAGACAAAGGTTTCCGCTCGAGCGTAGACTTACTCGCTTGAGCGTACTGCAAAACGGTCAAAAGTGCTGGATGGATGAAAATCACGCTCGATTGGGCGCTCAACACTCACTCGAGTGTAAGACACAAGGTCCCGCTTGAGCGTAAATTACCCCGCTCGAGCGGACTTCAAAACAGTGCAAAATGCTGGGAGTGCGAATTTCACGCTCGAGCGCCAGTCACCTCGCTTGAGCGTGAGTTCAAAATCTGGAAATTCCCAAATTCGAACCTCAAGCTCAAAATCAAGTTTCAATGCACCAAATTCGATCCTTTTGGGCCAATTTTCTGGAAAACACTTCAAAACTCATAATATAACATGATTCAAAGCTCAATTGTAAAATCAAAGCCCCAAAGGAAGATCAATTCAACCCAATTTCAAACTAAATTTCATGAACATAACTCAAACATGACATGCATGAGTTTAAACCAATTCAAAGCTTCCAATACTTACTCTAATGAGCCAATTTTATCAAAAACAAGATGAAATCATGGTCCATTTGCAAAAACATGAACATGC